GGTGAAAAAAAGATCAACAAAATTCTGTTCAACTTTACCATCAGGACCATAAAATCAAAGGACATAACAAAATCTTTTCCACTGTTCATATTAATTTAATTTTCATGAAATACAAGTATAAAAATACAATGACGTAAAAATGGCTTGCAGCGAGAGGAGCAATAATTAATTTTATTAATAACCACGTGGAAGTAGAAGAGACAACAGACGTGGTTATTGCATTGTGATTGTGATTTCACATACACACACCTACTCCTCACCATTTCATTGAGATACTGTTAAGGTTTATTGCGTGTCGATAAGCTCCACATAATTGTATTTTCACATTAAGTACCTCTCATGTCAAAATTGCTGTGAAACATTTGACGCAACACACACACACACACAAAAGTGAGCACCAAGTTTATAAAAAAAGCACTTTGAACTCAAGTGTATATTTTTACATTTGAGTAGAAACACAAGGACCTATGAAAAAGATCAACTTAACCTAAGATAAACACTAGTGGAGCTGACCGTAGTACATGTTTTGTTCTTCTTGTGGTTCTACAGGCTGCAACCCATATTTAATAATCTCTTCACACCAGACACTTTTACGTTTAAGAATATTTTTCTCATTTCCCCTGCATTTGTGCTCCCCTGTGTCTCTTGAATTTTGATCATTACGTGTAAAAAGCAAAATATACATATGCTTAACATAACCACACCAGTGTTCATCAACTCTAATCTGACCATGCGTCTGTCAAATTAGGTCAAACACTTTCCGGGGGGAGAAAAATTGTTGGGTTTTTTCCCTTAGTGTCTTCTAAAATTGGTCAAACTTTTAAGGGTAGAATGTTCGTTTAACTTATTCTAGTATCATTACGGGTGTAAATAACGTAATTTGAGACAAAAGAAAACAAACACATTTGACTTTGATCCTATTCAGCAGATACAGGGTTAGAGTTGGCCAACGACAATGTGTACTGTGCTACAAATTTGATAGCCTACATGATGACATATTTTCTCATACAGTAGATTTTGTTATAACACAAAGTCGTTTATTTAACATGAAATTCCTGTTACGACTAAGGAACATATCTAATCCCCATTTCTTCTCCCGCCCCCCCCTCCTTTATTCTCTAAGAAATGCGACTTCCACTCTTTGCAGAGAGATAACAAACACGCATGTTTTGTCTGCCCAAAAGCAGACCCAAGACAATGTTGAGGCACATTTTGAATCATGAAACACAAAATCAGAAACACAAATTGGAACGTTTCAAGGTATACATGTTGTTGCCTGCCTTTTAAGTTTCAGATAAAGAAAACAGAATGGAATAACAATATTGTCAACCCAAAATAAAATACAGAGAATTGTGATTCAAGACCAGCGTTTTATATTAATATTTGACAAATAACAAGAGAAGTCAGATCTTTTAAATTTAAAGGAAGAGAGAATGATTGATCAGACATGAGTGCCATATATATTTCGCAGCAAAATACAATATAACATAGATAGCCCGAATTCGACAGGACTAGCCTTTGTAGTACTAGTAGTTTGAGGGATCTGCCGTTTGAGGGATATCTTACAAAGATAAAGATAAAGAAAAAAACCCAAAACCTCGGGACTGCAGGCAGTTCGACGGATGTGTGATTTCGAGTCTCCTGTGTTCGACCTATCCGTGTTATATATTGTATATTTGAAAAAAAAAGATGATAAAGTAGTACAATAACTCTTCAGTAAAAGTAAGGTCTGATAAACATGAACATTTCAGATCAAAATCTTAACAACAGGAAATTCTTCTGAAATACGTCAAGTTTCAATGCTGTGTTTTTGACAAATATCTGTACATTTTTATGTTAGTTTTTAACTAATCTAATGTAGTTTTAAAAGAGAAATTTATTTTTACTTTTAATATCATTGCAAAAGTACGGGACTACCCAAGACTAACTAAGGCTAATACTGAAACCATAACTCATAATAACTCACTTTATGAGAAGCAAGCATGACATTTCTTTCAACAGGCACAAGTTCCGCACTAGTATTTATGTTTACTCTCTAAAAATGTAATCAACACAACACCACTGACTGCTCTAGGAAGTCTCACTCTCATTAACAGCGACTATTCAGGACTTCATAAAAGTCAATTTGAGTAACGTTTTACCTCCATCACTGTAAACTTCAGGACGTTTTTTTCCCTTAAACAATATCACACTTGCTAAATACACTGGAACATTTCATGAAAGGAATGGTAAGTAAATATGCTGGAAAATACATTCCATCTTAATGATTGGGTACAACTGAGGGGCTGAGATGCAAAACGCACTACATCCATTTTAGCACTGAAGAGAAAACCAGCTTTTTTGAATGCTGCTATGCGCGCAAACAAGCGTAACTAAAAAGAAGATTTTTTGGTGGCTTTTATGAAGTAGGCCTATGTGTTGGGTTTTAGCCGAAAACGCTTTGTGCATCTGAAAGGCGGTAACAATGTGCATTTACAGGCAAAAAAAATCTTGATTTTTCCAAAATGTTGCTTAGCCGATGTTGCATCTCACCCCCTCAATTGTTCTTTTTATACATGTAATATGTAATATAAATAGACAAACATCTGTAAAGACAAAAGATTGTGGTATAAAAACCACTGTTCCCATGCATGTCTAATGATATGAAAATTGATATGAAAATTCCGAACCAGAAAAATGTCGGAAATGGAACACTCTAGTCTATCACAACCAAACAATGTCGGAAATGGAACAGACTATCACAACCAATGTGCTTGATTCTTGAAAACATAAAGAGAAAGGTGGGGGTCTCGTAGTCAAGAGGTAATGTTTACCTCTTAGTTAACATTAAAAGTAAGTTCCCTAGTTTGAAACCTGACAGAGATGGAAAAATTTTCTTCTCTAAAATTGTCCACGTATTCTCCTTTCCCGTTCTGTTATCAGTTTTTCTCTCCACCCTGTTACCTCCCCCCCCCCCCCCGTTCTTCTCTCCTTACACCTTACTGTTGTCTTTCAGCCACACCCCTGATTTTAGGGTAGGTAAGATCGAATACCAAGCCTTCTCATATAAGGGCAAAAAATCTTGGAAGCCCTGTGTGCAAGTTGAGTATGTTAAAGATCACATACGTAAAAAAAATCAATCGTACTGAGTGCAGAAGAGCCAGCTGTCAACTACCCCTGAAATCTAGCAGGGGAATGCAAAAAGATGAAGGGAAAAAATTGAATATTGCTCTTTGTCACAATATTGCACTCTGTGAGCAGGCCATCTCCATCTCCATTATACCATTGGTGAAAATCATAAGATTGCTAATTTGCACCATAATATCATCAGTTTGTTTACAAAATTTCCATTTTTGTAAAACTGGCAAAAAGCATCTAATTCGAATAAACATGCAGTGCATCCAACATGCAAAGCGGAAAAGTAAGGCAAATTGTCTATGCAGCGGTCCAGAGGCGTTTCGGAAGAGTGCACGCTTGTGCGAGGGCGCATGTTAGGTGTGCGCGCGCGTGCAAGCGTGTGTGTGTGTGTGTGTGTGTGTGTGGGGAGGGGTGTGAGTGTGTGTGTTCACCCACGCAGTGTTGCCGTCGACCAAGGAAAGATTGAGCTGCGACTAAGACAAACATTTGATCATTGCTTGAATCTCATTCGTGAGCTCTCTTTTGTTTTAACAGACTTAATTATGATGGACACAGATGACGTAACTGAATTGTTGCAGTGCGTGTTGGCTGAAATTGAAGAACAAGAATTAGACTTTAGTGCTGAAACTGAAAGATTATTGTAAAAACCTGAATACAATGAAGAAATCGTGGACACAATAATACATTGTTCCACATGTCGTGCTGCCATGCCAGCACAGCTTGATCCTGAAGAAGAAGAAAACTTGCTGTTATCCAAACTAGCAGAGGTGATTAGGAGTGCAAAGACAGTGCTAAATGAAAATGGCAGTGAAATTGAAAGAGCACATGAGTCTTCTGGCGATGATTACCAATCGGATTCAGAAGAAGAGTCAAGTTGTCGAGTGACAGGTGTGGACATTTAGACACTGAGGTACTACAGCTGGCCAAGATGGAAAGCGTTTACACTATCCTACTAGTTACACTCTCAGCTCCGGCGGGCCGGCCACGTTCACCGCATGGACGACTCTCGCCTCCCAAATAGGTTACTCTACGGTGAACTGACTCTAGGCAAACGTTCTCTCTGCGGACAAAAAAAAAACCGCTTCAAAGATGCTCTGAAAGCATTCCTGAAGAGATGTGACTTCCTCATACCACATGGGAAGAAGCTGCTCGAAATCGTACAGTTTGGCGCTCCTTAAAAATGCCTGTTATTGCAGGAAATAGGAGTTGATTCCAGATTTAAACCTTGTGCACCTTTTAAAGGAGCAATTTGGGGGTGGTATGTGAACAGTTCAAGGTCAGGGGGTTGGAGTAAGAATTAACAAAAAAAATGTGAAATGTGGAATCAGTTCACGTGTCAGTTGCGACAAAACCAAAAAGGTGCGCTGTGGGAAGTAGCAGTGAACTAGGCTTATCAAAAAAGTACCCAACTCACAGAATCTTAGAGCATGATTTGAAAATAAAGCTATATCCCATTTTAGTCCACCAAGAAGCAAGCACGGACAATGTTTTGAAGACAAGTGAGACAGAGAGAGAATTTTCAACGAAAGTTCTGTTCGCTTTAGTGACGAAATTCATTTATATGGGACAAGAAGAGTCAATTCTGAGATATACGTGTACTGGGAAACAGTAAGGCAAGATGATATGAATGAGAGGAACTAAAAAATTGAAATGTTGACCTTGTAAGAGCTACCACACTGCAGCAGTGTAAGAATGCTGCACATTTTTCAGTCCGAACACGGATATGAATTGCACATAAAGGGGGCCATGAGAAGCTTCTTTTGTATAGCTTTTGTAATGCAGGTTCTTTTTCCAAGTGATAAATTGTGTAACTGTCTGTCCGGATGGTTCCTTTATACTTTATGTTTCTACCGAAAGACTTTGCTCAAAGCGGTTTTTATTCTAATCAGTTTTTTTGGGGCCGTCATTGAGTATGGGACACCCTGTATAACATACTTGCAACAGACATGATCATACATCAACATTTTCACAATTCATCTCGTTTTGAAGTCTGAGTATATTCGGAATTTTCCACGTTCTCCGCTCTCATCTGCTCAGACTGGAGCCTTGCCGCATCATCACTGATCACATCGTCATCACCATCTTCAATATCATTATCATTTATGTCATTGACCACACTGCTGTCCTCATCAGTACTCTTGAGATGTAGCACTGGGTCATCTGGAAGAGGTTTCGAAGGAGCTCCTTCGTCAAACACAGAATCTTCATTCGTAAAACTGTCTGGTTCATCTATACTCTCATGCAAGTCATTACGTGTTGGACTAGAACGTTCTACCGGGGCATCTGGCACTTCTTCTTCCACTCCTTCACTTTCACCTTCTTCATCCATTGATTCTGCATCGGCTATCTCCTCAATCTCTGTATACAGAATAACTTCCTCACTTTCATCCCCAACAGGATTGCCCGGGAGACCAAAGATGTCTGGAAACTTTAAGATCGCTCTGTCAATATCAAAACCATACAGTTCACTCCATGAAAGTGCCGTATCTTTGTACTTGTCGATAGCAGCAAAGAACTGGGGAAAAACAATACAGAATAAATTGTAACGTAAATTTTATTACAAGAAATTTCACCCTCTATCTATAAATACAGCCTACTATTTATCAAAAGAATAATCCTTACTTAACATGGAAGGTTGCAAGTGTGAGAAACAATTAACAAAACAAAGGGTGCTCATGGTACTAACATTGTGGCCATGTTACGGTTAACTGTGGTAATTAATGGCTACCATTTGCAATGAGGAAAACAATGTCAATTGACAGTTATTGTCAGGCAAATCATATACTCCAAGTCTGCCTGGTGCATGAAGCACTTAAGAAGAGAAAATATTAACTAAACTCTCTCTCTCTCTCTAAGAAGAAGAAAAAAGAGGAGGAGGAGGAGGAGGGGGAGGAAGAGAAGAAGGAGGAAGAAAAGGAAAAAGAAGAAGAAGAAGAAGAAGAAGAAGAAGAAGAAGAGGAAGAAGAAGAAGAACAAGAAGCAGCAGCAGCTGCCTGTATCCCTGATAAGAAGTAAAAAAAAACAACAACAAAAAAAACCCCACTCCCAGAGCCCCCCCCCCCCTCCTCCAAAAGCATCAAAAAGTTAAGATGTGAACAGCAAAAGTCCTCACAGAAGCACAAGCTTACTACAATGATCTGTGATGCATAACACACAAAGATAAATGATATCTGGATCAATGTATATTAAGACAAAACCTTCATTTATTGTAGTAAAACTTTTAATTCTTTCATTTTACAATTTAGTTTCCCCCCAAAAACACATCCAATTTTCAGCTCATTCCCTCTATAAATCTAAAAATATGGTAGTGTTCAATATTTTGGTTCGTTTCCTCTTCTTTATTTCTCTATATAGGAATTTTCTCCAAAATACCAACAATATCTGAAAAGTACAGAGCCATAACTTTAAAAAAATGTATGGACCCATTTGAAAACAAAACCCCAAAAAGCTTTTGGTTTAGTATTCATAGAAAACAGAACTCAAATTACAGCACTAGACTTGTCATTCATACAAACTAATCATCACTCACTCTCAAACATCAACTTAAGAGTACCAGATTCCTTTCCCCCCTCCTCAAGTCCAACAGGTCTGCTTTCACTCTTTTTTTCTTGCTCTTTCTCTATCTCTCTCACCCCAAAAACCTTCTCTGTCCCTCTACTCTCCATCCCACCTCTCTGTTTTCTACCGCGCATGGTCGACACTAGATGTTTCATTGTACCTTTTCCTTTCGTTCCTCGGTAATGGTGTCCAGAGCTGACATGAAGACTGGCTTTGCCATCAAGCCCTTGTCATGTAAAATGTCCAGCAGTTTGGTCCTGTGGTGGAGAACAGCAAGGTTTAAAAAAAAAAAGAATCCAGAGGTGCATTCTTATAAATATTGTCCGAAACACATATCTTAAAATATAAAAAGAGGAAACAGAGAGAAGAAAGATACTCCATCTCCCCAGCCAACTCACCAGAATTCAATTGGGCGCAGATAACAAACATACAAAAACTCAAAATTCCAGTTAGCTCATAATTTTTGCTCCTCACTGATATCTCTTAATAGTTTCAATATCCGTTGACCCAGTCATCGATGTATCAAACACATTTGTAAGTCCCCTTCGTGTTTGAATTATCCATGCTCAACTGTCTACAAATATTCTTATGCTTTTTACTTTACAAACAGCTACTGCAAAATGTGACTGATGCAAACAAAGTCTGTAAACTCATAATTTGATAACTTCACTCAAATGTTTCTATAACCTGAGAAACTAACCTGTTTGCATGAACATATTATGTGTTAACCCAATGTGTTTATGGAAATTAGACAAAAGTGCTGTAAAAATGACAGCCATGTGTAGCATTTCGCATTTCTTAGAAATAACATAATCTTTTCACAAACGTTTCTTTACTTTTTATGTCACATGCACAAGGCTCAAGAGGGAACACATGCAGTGATAGACACACACACACACACACACACACACACACACATTCACCAATGTCATAGAACAAACCTGTACACTTCATTTGGCGAGGCAAAACCAAAAGTGGAAATTGGTTCCAACAATTTGAAGGGGCTCTTCTTCTCAGGACAGTCCGTCGTATTGAACCAGTAGGGATGGGAGAACCAGATGTTGACTGCGACATGTCTCCAGTTACTGGAGGTCACCTGATGGTACCACCTGGGGGAAGGTGGAGGGGACAGTTAGAAAGTGACACCATTAGAGCTCAGGTTACAACAGGCTAACATCACCCTGATCCAGGCACACTCCCTGCCTCTCAACAAAAATCTAAATCATTACTGGCAAAACATAGATACATACTGCTTATAATACCAACAACTGTTGAGTCACTAAATTTAAACACCCTTGAGAAGGTGGTTGGCGGGTGCTCTGGTGTGGTTTGCTTCTTCTTTCTTATGAAACATTTATCTTTCTCATCTCCCCTTCTTCTTTTTTATGTTTGTTACTCTCTTGTAACACCTCTAATCTTCTGGCGCTCATATGACCTTATGCAGTTGCGAGCGCTGTAAAACCTCTACTAAAACAAACAAACACCCTTGAAAAGCGTTAAAAGTGGAGCCTACTAAAAATTAAACTAGAAAAATCTTATTGACTTATGAAGACCCCTTTAAAGTACCAATTGTAAGGGAATACCAGCTTTGACAAGATCCCAGAACTGAAGATACCAAAAAAATCTGACTTTTGTTGAGAAGGAAGAAAAAAATCTCACCCCCTCGGGATAAAGACACAGTCTCCTTTGTTCAGTGACACCTCATGCCATGGAATGTTCTGGAAGTTTGGAAACAATTTCATGTCTACACTGTCCACGTCCACAGTGCTGTAGCCACCATCCTGGTTGAAGCCATGAGACTCAACATCCTCTTTGTAAACCTATAGACAAAACAAAAGACCATGTCATTCGAGAGTGGCGTTTATTTGCCAAAACACTAGCCTATTGGTCAATATTTACAGAGTAGCAGATATATATAACAATAATAATAATAATACATTGCATTTATATAGTGTTCTATCCCATAGAATAAGCTCTGAGCGCTTTACATTGATGACTTGATCAATGAGCATAATACTTCATTCACACAAGATAAAAACATTTCATATCAACAAGAAAACCAGTTCCACCACAATAAGAATAGCTTTCTCAACCATACCGTAACTCTTTCTGGACATATTGCCGATATATCGGCGCGAGTCCACACCCCTTGCGGACGTATCGCCGATTATCGCCGATATATCGGCTGTGATAGGGTGCCTTAGTATTATTTCATTTTAACACGATCCGTTATTTATAATTACTCTTTATTGCTATTGAAAAACTCTGAAAGGATTTAGGAAACGAAAACATCTAGTTTCACTTTGTCAAAGCGTGGGTTTGAGGAAAAACGAGTGTATTAGTTCTTGCGGTCTTGCATCAACAAACCGATGAAACCGGACTCAGTAAAAATGTCATAACTCAAACAAAAATTGGAATATTGCTTTCAAATAAAAAGCTGTGCATTCAGAAATTTATGGATTATGCTCTAAGCCTGTATATATGATAAGATAGCTATGCTGATTTGCTTTCACATCTTTGGTGAATGTAATTTTTTCTGTCAAAATTTATTATTCTCATCACCATCGCCATTTATAACCATTCTAATATATACGTATGTTCAAAATTAATCCTTGTTTCATATTGGCATGTATTCCTCATTCAATTTCCTTCAATTTGATATATATCATATGTTACGTTTGGAGTGATGGTTATGCTTCTATGAAGTTATTTTGTACATCACCTGCATAGCCAAATCGAGCCACAGGTTAAGTATGTCTAGACCAAAAAAAAACTATGTCCCGAAAGAGTTAATTACCGAATGTAAAAAATATAGGTGCATGATAAGATTCTGGAACATCACAAAGGAACAAATAAGAAAAATGAAATCAGAAAAACATATTTCTCTGACACTTACTCTCAGGTACTGCAAACCTACAGTTCATGCAGTGGCAAAACATCCTGCATGTCGACTATCTGGACATCCTACAGTACAGACAAGAAGAAATAGCGCAAACAAATCCTTTCCCCTTACTTCAAAAATTCATCGAGACCACCTATCAGCTACAGGACCTGTCACATCTTAAATGTTTCTTTATGAACGTCTATGACCATTGTCTTGTGATTCCTATAATATATGTCACTGCTATAGAATAAACCATATTCAAAGTATTCGAGAATTTGACAATCATAATCAATGCTATCCAGAAAATGATTTCAGTCCAAACCATTTCGGATGAGATGCAAAGGCAGACAGGGACTCGTGACCCCATAAGGAAGCTACATTTTGCACTGTAGAAACCTGTCCACGAATATGTCTTCTGGACTATTTATTTGGAAGATATAGTATAGGAGAGGGATTACTAGGAAGTTCGTTTGAGAAAAAAACAACACAAAACCCCACCATTTCTTTACATGTACATTGTATATTTTCACTAACTTCTCACATCGTCTGTTTTTAAATAGAACAGAGAATGCTCATTGAGTAAAAGAACAGCTCAGAGAGAAGATTTTATCAACGTCAACATCTCTTGGTCAACACCGTAGTGATACCAAGTCGTGTTACAGCAGTATTCTCATCACAGCTGTAGTCAGTCGTATCCGTTGCACCCCCCAAGCTCCCGACACCATCACACACATCCGTTAACGAAAAAAAAGAAAGCAAAAGAAAACCAACCAGCATTCAATTGTATCCTTTTCGAAGGCGGAAAAAAACCTCCAACAATGAATAACTAAGCTTTGATGTGTAGTATTTACCTTGACATACCATCTCTAGGAATATCTAATAACAAAAATCTTTGGCATAAATTAAATTCCGCGATACATATCATGGTTATCTTCTGGGTACTTATCACAATTTCAGGAACACAATCATGATCAGTTTTCCTCTCACTTATCTATTGTAAGGGTAATAAAACTTTTAAAATTTTCATGGAATGGTTGAACACATGATAAAGAAGACAGCATAATATGTGTTGCATTGTGGTAAATTCAGGCACCTGTCAAAATATTATAATGAAATTTTAAAAAAGTACAAGCTCAGATCTTAAAGAAAACAAACCTTGTCAATAAGGACAAAGCGTTTGTGGCCGTCCAGCAGACACAGAAAGTTGTCCAGGTCGTCATAGTGAAGCACTGATCGGGTTGCTCCGCTGCCCATCCACAGGACTGCCTCTTGGAACAGTTTGTGGATACCACCGCACTGAAGAGAGGGAGGGACAAGGGCCAGATCTGAGAAAGGAAGGCACAAGAGGCACTTCTGTTTTAATAAGACTTTTATGGCACTAGCAACACAATTAGGAATTAGGTTATAAAATATACGTGCTGAAGATTAGAAGTGTGAGAGAGAGTAACAAACGCAAAAAAGAAAAAGCAGAGATAACGAAGATAAGGTGTTTGAAAGGAAAGAAGAAGCAAACAACACCAGATCACCTGCCAACCACCCACAAGAGGTATTTCAACAGTCAGTGAGATATACAGCAAGTAATTCGTAATTTGCTTCATTGGGGATTTTTTTTTCAAGATCACAGCACCCCAAAATTGTGGTCGGGAAAAGATACAAGGGGCCATTTCACCAGTTAACGTCACCAGTTAACATGACAACAAATGCAAACAAATTCAAACCGTTTTGGAAAGTTTTTTTTGTTTCAAGAATTTATCATCCAACTAAGCACAAACAATCATTTTGAGTTGTTTGGGGTGGGGGACATGTGCTTCTTTTACTAACAGGTGACAAGTTAGTTAAACATAATTGGTATCCCATATTCAAGTCCTTAGATCTACTCCAAATATTGTGCAAACTATTTTATGGCACAAGACCAAAGAGCAAAAGCTCATGATCCCATGGACTGTTGACAATAATTATTAATATATTAAAAGTCACCTAAATGCTTAGCTTCACCAAAAAAAAAACTTAGGGGAGAAACAAACCTTCCATCACTCTGTCCAAAGAATGCACCATGTACAAATCTTCTGAGAGATAACGAGACAAGAACTGCTGAAAGGGTAGCCATGTTGGACCTTTACCCCTTCTTTCTTTTTTGCTGGTCTCAACTTTGACAACTTTATCTCCATAAAGATTTCTGGAAATATATATAAAGAAAACAGAAATGCAAACATAGACAGAGAAAATCAACCGCAGCGGTCAGTTTCAAGACACTGATATATGAATTTACATGATCATTTAAAAATTATAAACTTACAAAGCGAGAAAATGTTTAGCTCAGATAATTTTAGACACTTATAAACAATCTATTTTCATCTCTTAAACTCTTCAGTGATAACCTCAATCAATGAAAGAGAAATACTACTAAGCTCTGTAAAAACTGCCTGAACTTTTTTGCTTTCCAGCTTCAGTTAGTAGACCTATGGAGATCTTACAAAATTCAAGCAAAAACTAATCAGATGAAAATTATACTGCAAGAGCCAAACACTGAGAGTTTTTGGTCAACTGCTGGAAAAAAGGCATCATGGAGAAAAAGACACAAACAATAAGCACAGGAGATGTGTAAAAAGTAGGCCCTACCACCATTACACATCACACAAGACTTGATTACAACAACACAAAATACTCCTTCTAAATGAAAATAACTGAAAATTGATGAGAGGTTAACTGTCAGGGAGCACTCATGTCACAGGTAGCTTTTAAGACACATAACACCCATCTTTAACAATATTCAATGGAGATGCGCACTTACTTAAAATATTCATCCGTCCATTGAGTCAGTCCGGGGTGATCAACATCTGTGAGGACCCCTCTCATTAAAATTGGTTTCCCTGGTCTCACAAAATGGACGTAAAAAACAGTGGGGTCCGAGAACTTTCCATTCATAGTGATGCCCTGAGGGTCTTTATGAGCACCTAGCTTTTGAAGGTGGCCACGAGGATTGTTTGACGCATCATCAGACTGACTGGGCAGTGCTGATACCAGTAAGATGGCTCCAATGCTCAAAAAACACCTAGCCATAGAGATGTTTTTCTTAATAACTGTCCACTGAAAGTGAAAGATAAGCCAGGACTAATACGCACTGTTGGGCATTTCTGAGAGAAAGATGGATTCTTTTTGCTAAGCACACTAGCCACTCTTATGAGAAAGAAACAATACTAAATGGGATAGCAAAAAGCATTTCTCTCCGTGTCGAACCTCCACACTTTATGCTTGACCTGAAAAAGAACCAAAAAAAAAGGTGGTCTATACTTGCTCATGATAGATTGTAGTTTACAAGTGATCAATTAATGTAATAATTATGTTTCACTACTTGATCTGTTACTCACAATTTCATAGGTAATCTTGCAGTCATATAAAAAAATAAAAAAAAGAGGGGGAAAAGCAACTAGTGATAAGTAGGAAGTATCACTTATCATACATCTAAGAACAAGTTACCTCTAGAACACAAACTTGAACCAACAGTAAAAATTTCTTCGTAAACACGACTTGAGGATTGACGCATCAATATGTGAGACCCACATATATGTAAAATCTTGTAACATATATATATAAATGGATGTGGGCCATTGGTGAGTGCTTTGGTGTGGTCTGCTCCTTCTTTCAAATCGTACTACAAATTGGGGGCGCAAAGTAACATCTCCCCATAATCTTTAAAAATCACAATGGTTCCACAGAATCCAAGTTCAAATCTAAAACACCCAGTTGACCACCAACTGGATTCAATCGAATTGACTTTTACACAACTTGAGTTTGAGTGAGTCTTAATTTCAAGGCCTCGGCCGAATTCACTTTATTATATTTTAATATTAATTAATATGGTGCCAAATTTTTTTGCCCCATCCATTAAGAAAAACTCTCTGTCTGGTCCCAATTCAATCAAATGAATTCAATTGGCAACGTTTCGTTTGGAAAAACAATCACACTCAATCACACAGATGCATTGCTTTGGAGGTCAAACTGCAGTATTGTTTGCTGCAGATAAAAAAAACCCTGCTAAAACAATCTCAAATCGATTATTTTCAAGAAAATTTCACATCAAACTGCAAAATAAAAAAATTTGTGGGTTAAAACAGGGGGGGCATGCACCCCGGTAATCCCGCAGACTTTTTTTACTTCAGGGGGTTGCCTGACTAACCCCCCCCGATTGGTCTGCAGTGTGCAAATGCAGTTAGTCTTAGTGTGACGTAGCTTGATAAAAAAAAACATCAAATGTTTCAAAAACTATTCATTTGCGACGGAAATGAAGTTGATATAAAGTGTTCCGCGCATCATAGTAGAAAATGGACAACTGGTTAAGTGTTAGATGGGAGGGAAACTAAAAGAATTCAGCGGAGGTAAATTTTCACTTTTACTCCCGCACACAGATACATTGCTCTGGGGGTCAAACTGCTGTATTTTTTGCTGCGGATCACACATGCAGCCATTAAAACTGTCGCAAATCAATTATTTTCAAGGAAATGCCAAACCTAACTGCAAAACATCAAATCATGGGTTAAAACAGGGGGCGGAGGCACCCCCCCTGTAACCCCTCAGAGGTTTTTTTTTCTTAAGCCCCCCCCCCCCCCCCGAATTGGTTCAAAGCATGGAAATTACTACACAATTAGGCTTAGTGAAGTGTGGCCAACTTCAATTAAAAACCATCAAATATTTTTAAAAACTACTATTTTGCGACAGAAATGAAGTAAATATTAATTAATAATAATTGTGTTCCACAATACATAGTAGAAAATGGATAACTCGTAGGCTCTAAGTGTGAGACGGGAGGGCAAGTAAAAGAATGTAGATTAAAATAATAAAAAGCTAGTCTTGGCATAGATCTACATTGCGCACTGGTAAGTGGAATCAAACGTTGCCAAATATATGCTAGGCTATACACAGACAGAAACACAACTTGTTCCGCAAACAATACGAAATAGATGATTTATGACACAGGTGTGCATTCGAATTACTTTAACATTTTAGGCTTGGCAGAGTTCAGTGTTTTCCCAGAATTTTCCAGTATTTCTTCAGAATGGCCTCAAAGAAATGAAAATATGCCTCTCATTTGAAACCAAACTACAGTATAACACAGATAGGTCGAACACAGAAGTTTCAAAATCACGCTTTCGCTGAACTGTGCTTGGGGTACCGTTTTTTTCTTCTTCTTTATCTTTGTAAGATATCCCTCGAACAACGGATCCCTCCAACTACCGAGGCCTGCCCCGACAAATTCGAGCTTCCCGTGTTATACAGCTCTTTTTAATTTGATTGACGAAGTCAAACATATATTATACATTACTTACTCCATGCCTATAATAAACTACAAAAAATCCTCCTGTGAATTGCTATTTAAAACAAACACTCAGATTCAATTTAAAAAATTGAAGGTCAAGTTTCGTTGAATTTGAATTCCCCGGTTCTTATATATCAAATACACCTCTGATATTTTTCTTTGATCAACCTCTCCCAACCAAAGCTGGCTAAACCGACGAAAATCTAGTGTTGGTCCCACACAACTCGAATTTCTTCTCGACTGGAGCTGTCAAATGTGCTTTGCTCTAAAAAGGTAGCTCGCCTTGCTATCAAAATATACCAAATTGCAAGTGTAGCTTTTATGTATAAATTTAAGCGAAGTGACTATTCTGACTGGAGTCTGATTTAACGAAAATTATATTTTGACTCTGAATCGTGTCCGGCATGACGTTGACGTCACTTCAGACTTCATGTGACTCCGACTAATTTTTCGTTATAAATAATGATAAAAATGGAGACGTGAGCTTTAATTTGGTTGCTAGATCTAGATCTGTCTAAACTGCCCTTCCCTGCATCATTAGGCCTAGATCTAGTAACAGAACAACCAAGTTGAGTTGATCTAGTCGTGCCGGGTGCAAAGTCAAATATGTCGACCAATGAGACCGTGCATAGCAATTACGCACTCCCGCCTTGCTGGGGGAAGAGGTGTTGGGAAGAGGTCACAGCTGTCGATTTTGTGGAATGTGATTAAAAAAAAAAAAATTACAGAAAAACTAGCCTATAAAACAAAACAAAATGAAATTAAACATGTGGAAAGACAAATGGTGGTGTAAGTAATGATGATGCTGTTGAATGGTCGTAGTGGTGCCTGGTGCCGGTTACCGTGTATGTAGATCCAGAGTTATCGGTTACCATGTACGTAGGCATTGCTATTGGGCAATGAGAGTGCCGTCTTCTGACTTTTGACACATTTACCCAGTCCGAGATCTAGATCTAGTTCTAATTCTGGCTTTACGTAAAATCCCCAGACGACAGATTATAGCTAGCTCTCCTTACACTCACATTGACCTAAACAAAGATGATTGGACAAAAACAAAGTCAGATACAGAGAAAGCAGAACTGCTAAATAAATTCTTTCAGAGTATTTTTACGAATGAGGACCCAGGACCACTCCCAGACTTTGAAGAATAAGATGACTACAACACAGAACTTCAAGACTTCAATATTGAAACTGTGACAGTAAAAGAACTTATGATTAGTCTTAATGTCAACAAAGCAACAGGACCAGATGGCATCCCTCCCAGAGTTTAATATTATCCCAGGCAGCTGACATTTTTGCACTACCTCTAGGAATTCCCTTTAGGAGGACACTAAATGATGGAGTACTACCAGTGGAATGGAAAACGGCATTTGTTTCACTAATTATATTCAAGAAAAGTAACAAGACGGCAGTAAACAATTATCGACCTGTGAGCCTAACATGTGTCATCTGCAAGGTTAGGGAAAAGCTCGTAAGACGGCACATCATGGACCATATTGTAAACAACATTTGATTTCTAATCACCAACAAGGATTCGTCACTGGACGTTCATGTAAAACACAACTATTGTGGAGGCTTTAGATGACTGGACGAGTGTTATGGATGAAGGAAGGTCAGTGGATGTCATTTATATTTATATGGACTATCAGAAAGCCTTTGATTCCGTTCCCTATAGGCGACTTTACAGCTCTCAGCATGCGGTGTTAAAGGGAAGGTACTCAAGTGGGTGAAGGACTTTTTGACCAGCAGAAAACAACGGGTTATTATAAATGGATCACGGTCAGAGGAAGCTGAAGTTTCAAGTAGAATCCCGCAAGGATCAGTTTGTAATTTACATAAAACGATCTTCCCAGAGGACTTAAAACAACAGCTAAAATATTCGCTGATGACACAAAGCTGCATACGTTAGAAGTGACACTGAATGGGCCGCAAGATTTACAGGATGATTTGATACCCTCCAAGAATGGTCTCAACGATGGTTACTTTGTTTCCACACGCAGTGTTGTGTCCTAAAAGTTGGCAAAGAAAATGATAATGAATACTTTATGGACCAAGCAGTGGATGGTAGCACCTCAAGACACAAACTGAATGCAACAAAGAGAGAGAAAGACTCAGGAGTTGTAGTCGATGATAAAAACTAACATTCAAGGAGCACGTAGCCCAGATAACATCAAAAGCGAAGCATATTGTTGGACTTACTAAAGGCGATCATTCGACTACCTTTCTGAGATGTTTGTTTTGCTCTTTGTACAAGAATTTACTTTATTAGAGTATGCACACTGTGTTTGGCAACCCTTTGAAAAAGGACTAGTGAAATCGAGCAAGTTCAAAGGCGGGCTACCAAAATGCTGAGTCACTTTAAAGAAAAGCCTTTATTCTGAAAGACTAAAGACTGAAGAAATTAAAACTTCCATCCCTGGAACATCGTAGTACGTGATGATGATGATTGAAACATAATATAAGTAGGCCTACATCAAAGGCTACACTAACATCACCGAAAGACCAGCTTTTAGGCAACAACCACACAACTCCGTGGCAACCCAGAGAAGCTCCAGAAGCAAAGAAGCAGATTGTGTGTGAGAGGGGAAACTTTTTTGAAAATCGGGCAAAAACTATTTGGAACAATCTCCCCGAGTCAGTAGTGTCAGCCCCAAACGTGGACACATTCAAGAGACAGAAAACTGGAAAGATCTCACGACGATCTACAACTCCACTTGCGAAAACTGATTAGTCTAGCTTGCACACAATGCATCTAAATCTATAGTCATTCATTCATTACCAGATGAGATAGATTCTAGATCTATAGAGAGTCGACAGGCTCTTCTAGAGCCTCAACCGACTTAATCTTCAATGACAATTATAACTCACTTAGAAGCATAGTCCGAAAAAATCAAACATTTTTTTCTGACCCGAGTCCGAATAGGGCCCAGATAAAACCCATTTTCAAACGGAGCCTTTTCAAATCTGTTCGGACTCGAGTCCGAAAAATAGAGGTGGCCTTTAGTGCACCAACTCTTGCAGTTTGCTCAGTGGACCTTGTCACGGTAAGTGCTGGCCCTCTGCGGAACTCCAGTGCTTTTTCGGTAGTTCCCACCCTTATTTGAGCCTAGATCTACATCGAGATCTAAATCTATATACATGTTTGATCTGCGGCGAGCTAAGATATCAAAGCTAACAATTGCAAAACATCAAACTATGGTAAAATTCAGGGGGCATGCCCCCTGAACCCCCCCCCCCCTTATTTTTATTAGGTCAGGGGGGCAAGCCCCCCCTGAAACCCCCTACTCTTGGGGCCAAAACCCGCGAAAAACAATTGCGGGGTGGGAACTAATCTAGAATCTAGACTTAGATCTATTCTAGATAGTATATAGATCTAGAGATCTAATATCTAGATCTAGAATCTAGATCCTAGACCAGATAGGCTATCCGAAAGTAAAAAGCGCCCGAACTTCCCCACGCCACGGTAGGCCTAGATATCTAGATTATAGATCTATAGAATCTAGATCTAGATTCTAGATCTAGATTAGAATCTAGATCTATATCTATATCTAAATCTAGATCTAGATTAGAATCTAGATCTAAATCTATATATCTAGGTCTAGATCATCAAGATCTGACAATTCATACTGCATTAAAAAAAAACCCTCATGAAACCACGGTCTTTGAGTCTGAAATTCAAGTGAAAGAATCAGAACTTGTCTCCCGACACTTGTCTCACTCGAGGAATGATTGGTGGGCTTCAGAACCACCTTTGAATTTCAACATTGAAATTTCACAAAATAAACCACCAACAAGCGTGTCATCAGGATTCTTCATATCAAAAGATAACATTAAAAATGAAAAACAATAAAGTGATGCATGAAGAAGTCTACAACGACACACGCACGGCACCCACCACACTTCCTCGTTCAAAATTTAAGCGTTGAGTGAGCGTTGCGGACTGGATGGCCAACAAAGCCTAGGCCTAGCAAGATTCTTCTAGTCTAGATCTAGGCTAAGGGACGCCACTGCTAAAATGTTATAGCAATTTTTAGTAAGAACAGTTACTGCGCTTGGAGAGTCTCGGGAACCAAAGTCCAATGAAGTTAGCCTTGCCTAGCAAATGGTCTGGTGTTGCAAAGGCAAGCTTTTGCGAGAAAAGATGTAGGGTGAAGATATTGTTGACAAATATTTGTGGTAACAGATCTATCACACTGTTTTAGTTTCAAGCTTTTTGTCTTGAAGATGTATGAATCTCCTTCAACTTGACTCGCAAAGGCCAATGGCGAGCTGTTGCTGCTATGCATTGTGGGTAAGAAACAGAAAGTAGACCCTTGTGGTTCTCCATGAGGAAAGCCTTTCACAATATAATCTCAATCTCAAGAACTCATTTCATGAAAGAAATTGCTACTCTAAAGCAAACCACTTCAGTAAGTAGCAAATAATGCTGATATTGTTATGAACTTACAATGCAGGGAGTAGAATAGATCCCAGCTGCTGTAGAGTTGGATCTTGCACCCCTGAAGTCTGGGCCCCCTTATTAAATCCATTTCCTATTCAGATTCAGAAGTGGCATTCAAATGCTGCTTTAAAAAACCCCAAACAATTGATATAATTTGTTCCTCTGGAAATGTGTTCTTGTGATGAGGCGTTGCGGTTAAATAATACGGTTATATTAGGCTATTTTATGATGTGTGCGATGCCACTTAAAAAGATGTATTTTTGTAAATATATGATAAAAATGTAATTTTTAATGTTGTCTTTGTTTTCCAGTTCTGTACAGTCTACAGTACGCACAAGGGTACAGTGAAGGTGAAAATTTTTTTTTGGCGATTATGAATAGTTGCGACTATGAATATAGGCCACATAAACACCATTGTGCATGTAGAGCTTTGATGTTGTGGTTGACAAACAAGGCCAGCTAATGAGTATTAGACCGGAGTTTCAAAATGTTTGCTTTTAAACTGAAATACGTTATATTGCCTAATATGTTCTCTTTTAAAATTTGTTCAGTACTGATCATATATCTAGATTTAGATCTAGATTCTAAATTGTCAAATATTCTAAAAATTACATGGTCAATTTTTTCAAAACTTTCCAAAAGAGACTTTAAAATGAAATACACAAATTGAGTACGATAAAAAGCTAGATTTATCTAAATTTTGGAATTGATTGAATTTGTCCTTTCAGTATGGTATACAGTGGTGTCGCGTGGGTTGCAGACAAGGTGGTGCATATGGAAAGTGAGAAAATGGGCAATAGGCTTGGCTACTATTAAGATTTCTAGAGAAAGTCAAAATTAGAATCTCAGGGATGCCACTTTTCCGCTTTTATTTTCCGGTATTTCCGGTATTTTGATCTTGATCCGCTATTGGTCGTTATTGAGATCAAGATAGAATCTATAATTTGGGAGAAAAAAACCCCCACACACACAGCAACTTGCGCCAAATGTTCAAATAACGGAAAAAATGAAGACTTCGCCTTAAGTTCAAATAATGGAGTGAGACCGTGGCGCGCAAATTTTCAGCTATTTAAAAAAAAGTTGAGTGGTATCCCTGCAGGATATCCCGTAATCTACATCTATCGATATACAACTGTTTCTAGATGATACACCGCATAAAAGCTGCGATAAAGTGAAACAATACTAAGTCACTATGCTCACAATCTGGGAAGATAGATTTCTAATTATTTTACTTCGTGTAGCACCAGGACTTGCTACACTTGTAATAGTAATAGAGGGAGACAACAGTTTCGATACCCATTCTTCATTGAGTTACCGTAGACTCTACTAGTGTAGTAGTAGTAGATCTAGATAGGCTAGTGGAAACTTTGGATCGAATTTTTAGCTTGCCCCAAATTGGTGCTGCGAAGAGCAGTTTCATGCACCTTTCTTCTTTTGTGCGGGAAGAACGATGCCTTGATTGCTCTACAGTGAGAAAAATAACTTTGGTGCAAAGATTTTGCTTGCTCCAAGCAGACACTACCGCAAGTGGTGCGACGAGCATAAACCCTCCTCGCTGTCTGTCTCTTCACTGGTGCTGCCAGCGGGTGACGGATTGCAAGGATGCAGTAGGCCTAATGTAGATGTAGATCTAGAGCACTGACTGGTTTGGAACAATTAGAAAGAGGGGGGGCTGAAGGCCAGGGTTAGGTGGAGCGCTTACGCCAATGGCGCCCCGTCACTGATAGTATGTATGCAGCCAGTCCTTTGATTTAGATAGATTCAGGTTTTTTATTGAATTGTTTTTTGTTTTTTTTTATGAGCTTGTAAAGGACTTAAAATTACATTAAATCCATGAGTTTAACTCCTTTGTGACCTACGTACGTACACCTTTCATCATTTTTTCTTAAACACGAATCCTAGGAAGCAAGCTCTGTTAAGCTGTGATGTACGGCGTTTGTAACGTCATGCCTCGCCAAATATACTACAATACAGGGATTATGATGATAAACCCTGTTCGTCAAAGTCATAGTTTAGATGTGGCAGCTGCTTCCAATAGATCATGCACTTCGTAAAAAACTACTTTTGCAGATTTGCATTGAGTGATATTTATTCTGAACGAAGAAATTTTTTCCTTACAAATAGTTACTAACTTAGATCTATATATTTATAAACCGGGTCTAAAAAAAGATATGCGACCTCTAAATCTAGCTAATTCTTTTCCCTGTGAAATTGAAAAACTGCTCGGTGAAGCACAATTAATTACTGACCTTGTATCAGGAAGGAGAGATAATAAGTTGCCTCTATTCCTTGCTGACTACTTTGACTGCAGGTACTTACTTTGCTTACCATAAGTAGGGGGGGGGGGGAGCTTGAGAGAAAGAGAGAGATGAATAAGGCTATTACTGCACTACGACATTCTTGTCTAGGACAGGACTGTCCTGTCCCACCGTGGATTTTGTGTGTGTCAAAACAGATGTCAGGTACGGCACTAGGACAGGACAAATCAGGATGCAGTTACGAAGTCCTCAGCAACTCACTTGAAGTTCGTTGATGGCAATATAAATCTTACTAAATTTTACGAGCCCAGGTCTGAACTTTCACCTTCACTTTCGCTGTTTTGAATTGAAAGAAAGAAGCCCCGCAAAAAGAAAGGGACGGGTTGAAATACAAAATGTTACCCATCAACCTTTTAAAACTATGTAGCACGACGTTGTGGAATTGGTCACTCGTCAATTTTTTACAGTAGATGGGGTTTTTGATATCATCTGCCTCTTCATTTGCCTTGCTTTTGATGAAAAAGTATCAATCTATGTGGAATAGAAGTTGAGATTGCAATTGAAAGAGGTGAGTCACCTGGTTTTAGAAAATTTATGAGAAAATGGCTGCCAAATTTTGGTAATTCCCGTAGCCTGAGAGTCCTTGGAAACTGAAAATTAACAGTTATTGTGCCTTTAATTAGTGTCTTTCGTAAAACCCACCCAGAAATAGGTTTTTAAATGGACATAAAAGGTGTTGAGCCGAAAAAAGAAAATTAGAAAAAAATTACCCAACGGCAAGAAAAACGCCAGTTTCTTTGATTTTACAATTTTGACAAGCGCTTGATTTGACCAAACTGCTGCACATCTCACCTTTACTTTACTCTCTCTGTGGTAACTTTTTTGTTTTATCAATCAGGTGAAGAACAATATATTACATTATGAATCTTTTATCAAGTGATATCCACAACAATGTGTTTATTCCTTGCAGGGCTTTGTGATCGCACTATGACTGTTGTGTGTCACCTTCTAGTGTACTGATGTATGTTGGTGCAATGGCATTTGGATTTTGTTGACAATGCAATGCAAATAGTCCTTTATCAACTTGTAGTTTCAATTGAGTCAGGCTTAAGCGCATTCCCTTCATATTCAGTCGTTTTGGTTGGTTTCTGTTAAATTGCATCCACACTGTCTCCTAGCCCATCTAAACTGGCCTGAGGGTTGACTTTTAGATTTTTTAAAAAGCTGAATATCTACACATACTGCCTGAAATCTCCAATATGGTGGCTATATGGGAGGAGGGAGAAAGATTCAAGCTGCCACCAAATGGGTCTGTGGGTGCCGTTCATCATGTAAAGTGTGTATCTGTGGTGGCAAGTTCATCGGCTGTAGTGAGATGGGTGGGTAGGCACAAATTTGTATAGATATAATAAGGGAACTGTACAGTTGGTGGGTGGGTGTGCAAAAGAGGGAGGGTGGCGTTTACTTGGGGTTTGATCGTGGAAAGGGGGGGGTGGGGACGTTTTATTTTATATTATTTTATAATGGAGTTTGACTGTATTCAAGTTTGAAATTTCTGATTTTTTTACACATGAAAAATTAGAAGAAAATAAATTGTAATGTCTGGAGATGGCTATACTGGTAACTGATTTCACAGGCCAGTATATGTGCCATCATAGAATTATGTTGTTGGGTGTTCATGGGATCAGGGATGCCCTTTCTCTGCAGTTTAAGCTCATATCTTCTTCACTGCTAGATCCGCTGATACTGTCTTAACTGTGTGTATGTAGATGGCTTTAGGTAATGTGAAGATCTGAAACTTGCATGCAGCACCAGTCTAGCCTTCAATCGTACTGACTTGTGTCTTGATCACAGTCTTGTATCTCTTAGTCTGTGAGAGAATTTATTTGAGATGGAAGAGGAGGCAGAGTCAAAGGGGAAATTATTTTAAGATGTCTTAACTTATTCTTGTTAGATCAGGGGCTGTTCTCAGTAATCCAGCTAAGATTAATTCCCCAGACAACATGTATTTTGGTGATTCTTGACTGGTGGGATATGAATTGGAGACTGTTGTACCGATATCATCCAAGTGTAGTAGTTCTATTCATGCAAGTTTTGCTTTTGGTGCGCTTCTAAATTGAGTGTATGAATGTGATGCCATTTTGGAAGTGATTATTTAGGCACAATTGTGGCCATATGAATGAATTTTTTATCTAGTTGCTCTGTTGCACACTGTTCTCACTGTTGCACACTGTTTTCTGATGTATTTTATAGGAAAGTCTGTCTGTCTATAGCCTAAATGTTTTCTGTGAGAATCACTGCCGCGCTTTATTTTTTTTTATATGTGGGTTTTGTTGTGCGGTACCTAATTGGCCTGCCTTAGAAAATAACATGCATGCGTGTCTATATGTAAACAGCTTCTATGATAGTTTTTCTTCTTTTTTTTCTTTTGCAGTTCTGAAAAGGTGAGGAGCTACTGAAATGAATCTCTCAACTTCGTGAACTGCAATTTAGTGGCTGATCGAGGCAGGGCCGTGTCTTCATCTCATCTCAGAGACAAATGTACTGTTGGTCTTATGTTCTAAAAGGAGAAAATTGTTTAACAACATGAGTGCATTATCATCAGGGTCAGCAGACAATGGAGAAGTGCAGAATCTTCTGGTTGACCCAGAGACCACTGATCTTGACGCTTGTACAGATGGAGAACCAGAATTGATAAAGACTGGCAAAGATACCTCTGGCTCTGACTCTGAGCCGTTGGTCATAGACCTCCAGCAAAATGCCCTTTTTGGTGATGGAGAGTTGAGGCAACATGAAGCAACTGAAGCTCACAAAACTTCCAGCGACTTGGCTGAAGGAGATCCTGTTATTTCCCGATCTGAAGGCGACTCTTACAACTCCATATCTGTTGCTGGAAACATTCCAGATGTACATAGTGTATTATCCAGCCAGGTGTCAGATCTCTCCAAAGTACAGAATTCAAGTAAAGAGAAATGTGATGATCATGATGGACCTCTGTCTGTGCATGTGACAGCAGTGGGTCCTGTCACAGCTGTTGCAGAAAGTCTGAAAGAGCTTGTATCTAGTGACGGGAACGTTGATCTGAGTTTGAGCAATAATTCCTCAGATACAGCATCAAAAAGAGAATCTGAAAACAGTTACTCTCATGAAGCTTCCGTTATCCCATCTCAGAAAGACATTGAGCTTAGTATTATTACTAAAGACAGAGAAACTTATCAATCTGATGCTTCTGAAAAAAATTCATTAGTTCAGGTCTCTTCTAAACCTATGGAGACTCTGCCTTCAAAGGATGGGGATCTGATGGTAGAGGACATTGAGCCTGGAGAAGATGATGAAGCAGATGAAGCAGATGATGATGTATTGCACATTGATTTGACGTCTAGGTGTGAAGATAATGCTCGCCCTCTGGAAGATAATGAATGCACTAGTTCAGATATAGGATATAGAAATAAGATTTTGAGGCCCACTACTCAGTGTCAGGTAGATGAATCTGAGCAGACTATGGAAAAGTTGTCAGTAGATGGGAGCTCTCTTCCCAAGTCATTTCCTGCCGGCAGCAATGTGGCTGGACAGTCTGTGTCTCTGTCAGAAGCACCTGCCGATGTTAGTGCAGTGCCTAGCATGAGAACTGTTACTGTTAGTTTGTCACCTACCACAGGTACAACTAGGTCCTCAGATACACAACAGATACCAGCCGGACATGGACAGTTGCAGCATCAAGAGGTCAACTATTCTGACAATAGTGATCAACTCCCATCATCAACGTCACCTGAGGTCTTTGGTCACTTCTTGTCGTCGGGGAATCCAAGTGTCTCTGACCAGACCCCTGGATCATTAAATCAACTCAGAGAACCAGTGTCCCCCAACTCCTTGGTCCAAGGTGACTCTGTTTCCTCCTTGAGGTCAAGGGTAGTTGATCAGGTTTTAGGTCAGACCACATCATCACATGACACAGGGGTCAAGGATCAGACCACATCATCACATGACACTGGGGTCAGAGGTCAGGTCACATCACATGACACTGGGGTCAAGGATCAGACCACATCATCACATGACACTGGGGTCAAGGATCAGACAGTATCAGCACATGACACTGGGGTCAAGGATCAGACAACATCATCTCATGACACTGGGGTCAAAGGTCAGATAACATCATCACATGACACTGGGGTCAAAGGTCAGATAACATCATCACATGACAGTGGGAGCTCAGATAATTCCGTGTCATCAACTATAAGTAGATTTTGTCTGTCAACAGTGCCCTACATATCCCCTGTGGCAAACTCGGTGCCTCAAACTGTGGACCAGCCTCTCGTCAGTTCCACAGATCCAGAGGAATTTCAGCCTGTCATTGTGAGTGTGAGAGGGAACTGTGACCTAGGACAGGTTGAGAGCAGTCTGAGCAGGGTCCCAGCTGCAGAAGAAAGCACTGCTTTGAATATAGGCACGGGCACCTCGGCCAATGCTATGGTGGTAGTGAGCAACAAGGTGCGGTTAATGGCTGCACAAATGAAGGGAAATCCCCATGTGTTCCCGGAAATCCTCCCGAAGACTTCTGATTCAAATGATGGGGTACTCATGCCATTTTCACAACAGAAAAGTTTGACCTCATTGCTGACTTTAGCTCAGAAAACTGTTAATGATGCTTGTGTGAAAGGGTCACAGCCTGTGTCCTCTGCAATGACGTTGAGTGGGGTTCCCACCCCAACACCACCGACTACCTCAACGCTTGTGCAGATGATACCGGTGCCATCATTGTCAGTTACAAAGACAACATCAGCCCAAGTGTCAAGCACTCAGAAAACTTCATCCACGACATTTCGTAATGTCCTTAGACCTGTACAGCAGAGTTCTGGGTTGACTTCAGTTATGAAAGTGAGCACAGATAGATCAACCAGTAAAAAGTTTCCCCACACGTCTAATCTTCTGGCTTCTGCTGCTACCACCACGTCTCAGTTCTCTTGCATTTTTCTGCAGGATCCTCGCAGTGTCCAGGTGAAAAACCTTGCTGTTCTGATTCCTCAAAAGAGCCCATCTTTGACATCTTCAGTATTGTTAAATAAGTCAGCTCTTCCTCCCGTAATGGCCAGCACAGCGACAAGCGTCTCTGTCAGCAGCGCTCCCCTCATTGGTGCCACTAATACCCACAGTGCAACCTCAACTTCCACTGAATCACTAGTGAACGAGACACCCCGCAGCCTACTGAACAAAGTGGTGACCAGGACTTTGAATAATTTTGGAGTGGAGCGTGCCGATGTTTTAAACTCTGATATCCTCAAAGTCTCCCCAGCTCCAGCGGAGGAAGGTGACTCTCGTAATTTTGTTTGCTCTGTGTGTAAAGACAAATTTTACTCTAAAGTTGGTCTAGAGTATCATTTGCACAGGAATATTTTCTTGATGGAATATTTTTGTATATACTGTCAGAAAATGTTGTATTTCTATAACAAGTGCCGGTTTTGGATGCATATAAATGCTGAGAGTGCCACACCAATTCAAAGAGTCCATAATGAGATTACCCATCTGAAAGTGAAGCCACAAAATTGTTATTCTGCAAGTATGATTGAAGACTCAGATCCAGTGTTAATGAAAATGTTATCATTGGAAGAGACAGAAAAAGTCTGTCGTGGCTGTAATGAGAACTTTCCCGATCTGGCGTCACTGCAGGACCACCTTATCCAGAACCCTCTACAAAAGGCTTTGCCATGTGCATTGTGTCAGATGAAGCTGCCAACACCTTGTGCCTTAAAAGCTCACACAAAAATACACACTCTTACCCTCTCGTCCGTCTTAGATTTCAGTTGTCCTGAGTGTGGTGTTGATGATCTGAAAGCTTTGTGTGATAATGAAAAGACATGCAGACCAGTGTTTGACCATTTGGATAAGTGCTCACACTTTAACAGGGTTACGACCATTACGTGCAAGTGTAACGCAGTCTTCTTTGATGAGATCTCCATAAAGTATCATTTCTTGACCAAGCACATGCAGACCTTGTACAGGTGCTCCTATTGTGCCATTGCCTTTTTGAATGACTTTCCAAAACTTGTCAGTCACTGTCAGAGTATTCACAAAATAGCTTTATACGAAACTCAACCTGTCCTGTTTTGTTCCTTCTGCAACGTTGCATGCAAGACTTACTTAGAAGTGGGTCAGCATTTGAGTCAGCATTACAAAGTCTGGCGGGCGACAGGGCCTCAATACTCTCGTTGGAAATGTTTTATCTGTCAACAGTGTTTTGTTAGTAAAGAAGAGCTAAAGAAACATGCTGACTCTGACCACACTCATAAGGCCAAGAGGTGCACACTATGTTTCAGTTTGTTCTCAAACCGCCAGAACCTTGTGGATCATATTGTGTTGAAAAAATGTAAGCGAACTCTCCCAGTCAAACTCAATCTCTGTGTCGATCTGCTAGACACGTTAAGTGATGACATTGTGGCGACCAAGATGACTGAATTGGTGTCAGAGATAAAATCGATGCTGGCTAGAAAGAAAAATCCCTTCAGTGCTACAACTCCAAACTCGACAACAAATAATGCTCGGACAGTTACTAACACTAACGTTGTGTTAAGAAAGCATCAGGCTGCCCAGCCAGAAAATAGGTTTCAGTTGCGTGTGGCATTTTCTGATACGCAAGGGCTGAGCAAAGCGATTGCAGGAGGGAGAAAGAGAAAGATTGCTCCCAAGAGAGTAAACCAAGATTCTGAGGTAGATGTGGAGCCTCACCAGTGCCATGCGTGCAAGATTGTAATACGAGGTGCAGAGAATTTCTCCTCTCACTTGACACGTCATGCACTGATTGGCAAGCACATTAGCCTGGATGTTACCCGATGTGTTATTTGTAAGAGGCTAGTGACTAATGCAGCTCTCTCTGCTCACATTCAAAAGCATCAAGAGAAGGGTGTGAAGATCTGTTCTAAATGCCAACGCAGGGATTTTAAAACTATGAAAGAGGCTCTTGACCATGGAAATACATTTTGTGGTTATACGTTTGTTAATGGGATAGGTGAAGTTGTTGACCCTGGTTGTGAAAGTACCACAGTCTCCCAGGGTGAAGGTCAAACTAGTGAAGGAGATGACAATAATGATATAGCGATGGGGGATGCCGTTGAAACGGATGTTGCTGAAGGTGATGGCAACAACTGTGAGAGTATGGAAGATCCCCCTCCTGCTCAGGTTGTGTTATTTCCGTGCTTACTGTGTGGCATGACGTTCGTGAATAAAACAGACCATGACGAACATGTAAGCAGAATGCATGACGGGACGAGAATTGTTTATTACTGTATGGCATGCAAGAAACGTGGTAAAATGAAAATGTTCAAGAAAAGGCAAGTGGTGGTCAAGCACATTGCAGTCAAACACAGATTGACTGGCGCTGCGGCCATTAATAAACTGATTAAACAGGTAGAGCAAAATGTGACAAGTGGCAAAGAGCTGGTAGCGTCTTCTTCCAATTCAGACAAAACAACTGATGCCCCGCCTCCAAAACGTCTACGCATTGAAGCCCAAGGGGATTTTCTGTGTGGCAAATGTGCCTTCTCCTGTAGTGACAGTGAAGAGTTCTCTAAGCACATTTCCAGCCACAATGCCAAGCAGGAGCCCCAGTGCCCAGAGTGTGGTCTCTGTTTCACTGTGGCCTCTGCCATGAACAAACACCTTTTTGCTGTGCACAAGATTAAGGAAATAGACGAATATTTGAAGGAAAAGGGTTTAATTGAGTCAGAAGAGGAGGAGGAAGAAGAAATGGACACACAGCCAGTTCAAGTCTATCCGCTGCCTTGTGTCAGCATTAATGACAATGAGAGTTCAGCTGCTAAACGTAAGACCAGACAAGTTGTTGAAAAGAATCCCTTAGAATGCAATGTGTGCTATAAAGTGTTTGACTCTGAGGCCACCCTGAAGACTCATATGAGAAATCACGGGATGGCTTTCATTAGGTCAAGGAGACACAAAGTGTGACTCAACATACTCTGTTAGTTTGTGTGAATGTGTGTGTGTGTGTGTGTATGTCTAAAAATAGGCAGAAGATGGAATTAAATATTTAGCGTGACAAGCTATATTTTAATATTTTGAACTGTGGGAGGGATGTCAGAATATCTACTGAGAAAGTGGATGAGGTATTGACACCTTTTGTCTTATGAGCCATTGCCAAAAGGTCACCACTTCCTCAGTAGCAGTACGCCAAATTTTAAACACTCATATTTCAGCTTGTAAATTTTATACTTAGAAAGGAAACCCAGGGTTCTTCCTTTGCATGAAATTGTGTTGGCAAGATAACTTTCTTGAGGGTTTTACTTGCAGAGGATGTTTTCTGAGCCTTGTCATTTCGTTGCGGTTGTATCGCTGCACAACATAAAACTGCCTATTGTAGTTGCAATTTTCACAGAAATAGTCTAAATTTTTACTTAGAACACCACACACATGCATGTGGCAAAATGATAGAAGTTTCAAATTCTTCTTGCGATTGTTCTTCAGCTTATCATTGGAGCATTAGAATTTCATGTAACTTGTATTGTAAGCCAAGACCTCTTATAATTTTGTTTTGGTGCTAAGAAGCAATTGCACAGTCTATTTATTTTATTTCTTATCAATGTTATAGTGGTGGCTCCAGTACCTAAATAATGCATTGGGCTAATCTTTGCCCTCTCAATTCAGAGGTGCATCAGGATACAATTGAGCCTGACCAGTGCCTTATCATGTGTGAGATCCAGTGTCGCATGTTGTTCTGCCTTATCATGTTCCTTTGAAGTGGGGAAGAACTCCAGTTTTGTGGGTTTCATAGGAACTTTCTCAATACTGCAAATGAGAATTTCATTGGTTTGCTTGACCGGTGCCTGTGTTTTAGTTAATTAGTGGTTAGGCTCTCCACTGTATCACACAAAAAACCTGAGTTCATTTCCCGAGTGGGGAGAATGTTTATTGAGTGTCTCTGTCTTTCGTCTGGGATTCTGCATCCTTCTAATCTGGGGTTGACCTAGACAGGTAGAGTTGGAAACCCACCTCATAAATGATCTAAATTGTGTCAATGGGGGCATGAAACACTAACAGTAAAGTAACATGTATTATATTAAAAATAAAAACAGAATTGCTGGTGATGAGGTCCTGATCCTCTTTCATGTGTCTGCTGGATGTCTTGGTCTTTGATGAATGGGTGGTTGGCGTGTGGTCTAGTGTGGTTTGTTTCTATTTCTTATACAAAATCGATCATCATTATCTCTTCTGCTTTTCTTTGTATGTTACAAATTACGACTTAAACCTTCAGCACTAATACCCCCCGGGGCAATGCCACTGACTGTAGTGTCTTTAGGCCATTCCCAAAAGGGGGACATATCTCGTTCAAGCATAGTAGAGTTGTAAATGGGCTGATTCATGTCACGCTCATAACTGTGCCTGATCTGCAACAGGGAACTGCTGCTTTTTCTTTCCTGATCCTTACTATTGTCATTTTCCTCTACTTCTTTTGTATGTTTGTCACTCTCTTGTGACCTGCTATTTTGGGGTGCCTTGATAGTCGAAGCAGACTTTGTGCTGTTGAAACTAGAGAGATGAGCAGTCTAAGTCTGATTCCCTGTTAAGACTTCTCTGTTGACATCTATCCCTTGGCGCTCATATGACCTTATGCAGTTGCGAGCGCCGTAAAACCCTGTACTATAAAAAAAATAACACGACCTACTTGTATTGCAAGTACAGGTACCATAAAACTCTTGCTAAAACTAAAAGTAAACTTGGTCTTTGATCTGTTCTCAATTTTATTCTGAATGTTAGGTCCCACCTTTCTGAAAACTTTTTTCAATTACAATGGGTTTTTTCCTATTTACTTCTGTAACATTTACATGAATTTCAATGTACATCATGTTATATCCTGCTTTATGTACACATCGCCATGGGCTTGTAATGATAATAATAATTATTATTATAATTATAATTGCATTTACAGCGCATATCCAAGCTCTACAGCATGCTCTATGCGCTTTACAAGTATTATTACCCTTGCAGACCCTAGAACACTCAGGAACATTCTCGTCTTCCCAGAAAGCAAACAGTGCAAGCTTCGGATTTAATGCACCCAAACACTAACAAACTGACTAGAACTTTCACTTTCACTGTCTATAGCCAGGTACACCATATCCACATGGGTGAAGTGAGAAAAGTTCATGTAAAGTGTCTTTCCCAAGGACACAACTTTGCCCCCTGACTGCTGGAACCCACGACTTTACAGTTGTGAGTCCGAGAGCTGGACTATCATCACAATTGTCCGAGTGGAGTTTTTTTTTTCAGCGTTCAAATTATTGGTGTAAAAATGCTTGTTACTTGATTGATAAGAATCCTCGTTATTGCAGGGTTTTCTTTCGTGTAATGAAAATCCTTTTATTGAAATATGTCCTCTTTGCTCAAGTTATAAATAGGGTTGATAAATAAGCACTTCTTTTTAAGGTGTTCTCAAGAACGAAAAAAAAAAGATGTGGCTTGTTGTGTTCTATTAAGACTTATGTTGGGTGCTTGATGTCAATGTGAATTTGATGTGTGGATTATACAGTCAGGCAGAGATAACTCAAAACACTTTGGGTATTGACAAATGTGTTCGACACATCCATAATGTATTTGGGATACCCAGGAACAAAAAATTAAAGAGATCATATTCATCTATCAGTTGGGGAATGGCAAATTGTATGAGCTATCCATGATTTAATTTTTATCCACACTCTTGTTGTCTGAGCCCGTCTGTAACAATAAAAAGTACTGGTAGGATACATCATATAGTTTTTACAACCCATAAAAGTCCAGAAAGCTTGTAAGTAGACCTTACTGGTTCGGACAATCATGTTCCATTGCCTGAGTATTCGTTCTGGGTATTTCTGTTTTTTTTTCTTTTTTTCTCAACTCAGTCTACGACTAAGTGAAATGTTTTCCCTGTAAATAAGTACATATGGATATTATGTTTTGGGAGATGAGAAATACCCAGGTGAAATAAAATGGTATTTTTTTCACAATGGTAATTTGTACGTCTTGATTGAAGTTATATTTCTCTTTCTAGGTTGCCCTCTCTCTCTCTCTCTCTCTCTCTCTCTCTCTCTCTCTCTCTCTCTCTCTCTCTCTCTCTCTCTCTCTCTCTCTCTCTCTCTCTCTCTCTCTCTCTCTCTCTCTCTCTCTCTCTCTCTCTCTCTCTCTCTCTCTCTCTCTCTCGCCTCTCTGCCCCCTCCTCTCATTCTCTCTTTGTCTATAATCTATCTCTCAAAGTTTAGATTATTTTTATTTCTCTTTGGTGGTGATAGATTTAAACAAAATGTATGTTGTGTGTGTAGAGTTAAACATAAATTTTGTTACAAGTATGGAGAAAAACTCTGGGGTGGGCAGGGGGGGATGTATGAATAGTAATGGTATAATTTAGGAATAACAATAGGCCTACTTGTTTAGTTCTTGTTATGGACACGGTTGGCACCCTAAACCTTGGATCGTTGCAGTTGCCTACACTGAACATCGGTGTCTGTGGTGTGGCGATTTGGCTTTTTGCTGTTCCAGGCAGGAAAGCTGAGTTTGAGTCCTGGGAAGGGAAAGTTTTCTAAAAGTAGTGAAAGTACTTGTTTCGGCCGGCACTCTAATTACTTTATTGTGTTGGAAGTGCCGTAAAACTCTTACTGAAACATTACATGTTATCTAGTATTTCCATCTGATGTGATGTTGTAATTTGTATCCCAGTCAGTCCAGGATGGCCCTGACGTGTAGCGATGAAGGATCCCACTTTCTCAATACATGACATAATTATGTTGCTAATTTGTGTTGATGGGGCATAATGATAAAGCACAAAAAGTGATAAGCCCAGTACCCGGTACATTTAAATATAATATAATATATATATACCTCTCTCCCCCCATGGAAAAGGGAGGGGTGGGGGGGTTGAATTGAGTTTATCGACCATCTCCATCCTGCATCTTGGATTTTATAATTACAGTTACAGTTACAGTGCTGCCTCTTTATAATGACCTTCGATTTAACGACATCCTCTGTATAGCGACATGGTAGTCAGGTCCCGATTTTTTTCTTTATACTGGTATATACACACACATACATATAGGCTATCTCATTAAATTAGTAATTTTTGGATGCCTCTCTGTAACGACAACTCTCTATTACGACTTTTTAATGGTCACAACAATGTTGTTATGGAAAGGCTGCGCTGTATTAGACTAATCATATCCCGCATAACCCTGGTTGGCCCTGGCTGGAGGGAAGACGCAGCTTAGCTCTCAAATGATCATAGTCATAGTCATATCACATTGTCAGTGACAGAGTGAGTTAGCATAGGCGATCAATGCAATACATTTGTGTACATAATACATGATGTATTATGTATTAATTATCATGATACAATCATGTTGTTAGACACGAGAATCTTTACGTTCCAACTTGGGAGCCAAGCTTGAAGCCCTAACGAGTTACCCCTGAACTTGGGTTTGTGAGGAGTTCATGCATGGACTGGTGTCTAGCATGACATCAGGGGTTTGGTATTTACGGACAGGGTGAATGAGGCTCACTGAGCCGTAACACTAACAGCCACATGCTAGAGAATGTCCGAGTCAGTGGCTCTTGACTTTTGTTATCCATTGGTGAGTGGCGTCGGTGGCCAAGTGGCAAGGCTACCGCGCCGGACCCGTATTCTTGAGACTGCGGATTTTGAGGGTTCGAGCCTCAGCTCGGTCAGACGCTGTGTCCTTGGGAAAGGCACTTTACACGCATATCTCATTTGGCTCGGTCCTTTTGGAGATGGACGTTAAATTCGGAGGCCCCACCTCTTAAATAACCTAAACATTGTTGATAGGGGTTTTACACCAATTCCAACACACACACACACACACACACACACACACACACACACACACACACACACACACACACACACACACACACACACATATATATATATTTTTTTTATATATATATATTTTTATATATATATATATATATATATATATATATATATATATATATATATATATATATATATATATATATATATATATATATATATATATATATATATATATATATATATATATATATATATATATATATATATATATATATATAATATATGTACCATTTCACTTCATGTATTTCCACTGGTAAGCAGCCAATATGACAATAGACTTTCATACATGATGTACTGTGGGGCAACCACCGAGTTGTCTTGGCCCAGACCCTCAGACCCTAGATAGGGGGCTCTCGTGGCCTAGAGGTTAAGGAGTTTGCCTCTTATTGAAAGGTCCCGGGTTCGAATCCGGGTAGCAACGAAAACATTTTCTTCTCTAAAATTGTCTCCTTTCACTACCTTCTTTCCTTCTCTCTTGCAATATGCTGTCGCCTGCTTTCGTTTCCACTTTCTTCCCCAACCCCCTCACCTCCTTTGCCCCCTCCTCTGGGCTCCTGACTCTTTCTGCATCCTTGCTACTGCTACTCCTTGGCTCCTTCTTTTCTTACTGCTGTCTTTCAGCCACACCCCTGATCTTCTGGTGAAAAAGATCTACACCTAGCCTTCTCGGACAAGGGCAAAATCTTGGAGGTCCCGTGTGCAAGTTGTGCACGATAAAGAACCCTTGGTGGTCTAAAATCGATAAGAGTAGGCTTCGGCCGCCGGGCAAAATTCAAAATTTCCTACCATTTGAAAATGTTTGGTGTGTCCCGCGCGCTCATATTCATACGACATTGCATTTGCGAGCGCCGTAACCCCCCCCCCCCAAACCCCCCCCCCAAAAAAACAACAACCAACAACAACAAAACAAAAAAAAAACAAAAACAAAAAACAACAAAACCAACAACAAAACAAACCTCAACAAAACAACAACAACAGCAAACGAAACAAACCGAGATAGCTGGGACTGTGTGAGGTTTTGGCGATACACCCAGGCAGTCTGTCTTCAACATGGATGGCAGGCATTCTGACAACTTCATACGCCTAAACATACTAATCTGATCGTCTTTTCAGAGCTTTTCTTGGTCTTGCCGTGCCATCAAATCCATTGTACCTAGGCGAGAGAGTGAGTCTGATGTTTGTGCCAAGAATCATAAACAAACCTGTTATGTATCTAATCATTTCACTTTTCTCGGTGAAATGGTATAGGTTTAACGCCCCTATCAACACTATTAGGTATTTAAGAGGCGGGGCCTCCGAGTTTAACGTCTATCTCCGAAAGGCTCGAGCCAAATGGGAAATTCGTGTAAATTAAAAGTGCCTTTCCCAAGGACACAACGTCGGACCGAGCTGAGGCTCGAACCCCCGAAATCCGCAATGTCAAGATTACGGGTCCGGTAGCCTAACCACAAGGCTACCGACGCCACTTCTTTTCTCTGTAGTCTA